AAAAAAAAAAAAAAAAAAAAAAAAAATCCAAATATCTTCACTCCTAGTCTTGTGAGAAGGAAAAAGAAAAGCATTGTTGTTCTTGGCTGATGCTTCATCCTCAAAGAGTGTCATTAGAGATGAGGTGTGATGCCAAGCAGCAACAACCAGCTATGGAAACACCCCATATTCTATAGAAAGCAGACATTTGCAGAGATCTGACTAGTCTGTGCATTCACAACAAAGTGGATATCAGTTTGAAGGGTTCTTTTCATTATGCAATTCAAATCTTCATCCTACCCTATTTTAGTATAATTGAGAAAAAGAGGGTCTCTAGACAGCATTTGAGCAACATGCAGAACTGTCCTGAGAGAATAAATCTCCATGTATATTAATAGAGTAAAACTCAATTACTGGTGGATCTGAGGCTACTCTCAGGTAGCAGAAATAAAAGTTTCTTTCACACATTTGCAGAAGAAAAGAGAATGACCTATTCTGGAATTTGTAATGATCTGGCAAGAAACAGTCTCTTTTTTTTCCCTCAAAATATTTTAAGTCCTAAAGAAGTAGCTAGCAGAACCATGAGGAGAATCCAGAATGAACACTAAAAATGCTTAGCTTAGTTTTGTAGGAGGTTCCTAAGTAGTCTATTTCTGCTCTCTGATGGCATTGTTCCAGAACATAGGAAATACCTCATTTGAATGAAATGTTGTTTCAATCTACCAAAATAATTCTTAGTCATGTTTGCTTCACCAAATAGATATTATAAATTTTTGTTTAAATAAATTGAGTATTCTAGATAAATTGGAGTTAAATCCTATTTGTTTAATAGTAATTTTAAACTTCTTGTTGATGCAAGCAAAATGTATAGTCATTAAACAACATAAGTGCTTGTAGATATTTTCACACAAACTTTCATGTTTGGAAGTTATGGATCCCAGTCTCTTGACATTCCTACCTGATGCCTCAGAGTTCATAGTTTCCTTTCACATTTGTCTCTTATTTTATTGTTTTTTTGTTTTTTTTTTTAGTTGGAGTCTCACTCCATCACCCAGACTGGAGTGCAGTGGCACGCTCCTGGCCACTGCAGCCTCGACCTGCTGAGCTCTGGCGATCCTTCCACCTCAGCCTTCCAAGTAGCTGGAACTACAGGCGTGCGCTACCATGCCTGGCTATCATTTGTTAACTTGTATTTTAAAATGTCTGTGCAAAGCTTATCTGGCTTCCCAGGCATTGAGTTCATTCTCTTCTCTCTCTTCATTTTGGAAATTTTTCTATTGAAAAAGCATTTGTTTGAATTCTGTTTAGATTTTCATTCTCAAGAAAAGATATAGGTTTTCTAATGATTCTGAAATTTTGCTCCTTCTCATTTGATAAGTGCCACCTCAACAGAAGTTTGATCAGAAATGAATGGTTTTCATAGGTGATAAAATAGTTTGGAGGAGTTTTTTCCCTGATGCTTCAAAATTCAATATGTACTCAAAATTTCAAGTTATTACTAATAAGCTGTATCATTGGTGAATCAAAGAGCCTCATTTAGTCTGAATTTAGCAAATTACATGATTGCCAGGATGCTTAACAATTAGTCAGTCCAAATAAATGAATGGCTATTGTAAGAGTAGAATCGAATAGCTTTTCCATCAGTGAAATGCTTTATTTGCTTAAATAAAATGGTCATGGAAAATTCAGATATGAAAATAAAATGAACCAGTCTACTGTCCATGAAACCTAGTTACTGAGATTTACCTATAAACAACGAATGCCCCAAGTTGGTGACATAGTAAAATAGCACTCATATTCTCAGAGTATAAGATAAATAATCAAACGTATAAGAGACTATCTAGCTCATGCGACTAATACCCAAGATTCAAATTGTTAAAAAATTTTATGTACTATTAAGTTCTGATTAAACCATACAATTATATCACAAATGTCCAAACAAACTAGATTTGAAAATGTATGTAATTGGAATCTCTTGATTAGGCATGTGTGTGTAAATATATAAAGTTGAAATAAATAATTCTATAATAATTGTCTAATTGTAAGTATCACAATATTGGTATAGGAAAAACATGTACTATTCTTAGCACTTTATTTTAAAAACACCAACTCAATGTTATTTTTATGAAGACTGACAAAGCTACAAAGAAGGTTCTCATTCATTTTCAAGATTTTGTCTCAATTTTTTTTACATACCAAATTTAGATGCACAAGTGGCCAATCCATCCTATTATCAGATTACTGAATCTTCCAACTCATGACTGGAAAAAATATTGACTATAATGTAGTTCAACAACGTATCAAATTATAGAATCCCCTGTACTCCATTAATTCCCAGGCCATCAACTTACTTTTGAAGAGTACCAGTAATAGAATTCCTACCTCCTTAGCAATCTATTTCCTATTAGAACAACTTTGACAATCAAACACATTCCATAGTTTAAAGAGTATGTCATTAATATTATTTATTGAGTTATTGGGAAGAATCCTGATCTTCTTCCTGATCCAAGCCATGATTTTGTTTGCACATTTTGGTCATAATACATAAAACTAATCATTCTTCTAAACGATAGCCTCCTTTTCCCTTAGATGTTTGAGTAAAGAGTTCCCACAGGACAGAAGCCTTATTTGGGTTGAAAATGCAAAATTATTTAAATTTTTATTTGAACTGCATTAATCATTCATTCTCCCATTCACCACTTAGTCCTCTATTTTTAAAGACATTTCTTGTAAGTGGTCACTACTGAGGATGTTTTAAAATTCATTTTCATTCTTAAATATGATCAAGCACACGGTATACAAAAGACATAGTAGTAAGCATACAGCATCAGGTACTTACATTTATTTGTTGACAATCCAATAATTATAATGGTGATGCCAACAAATACTTGTTCACTATATTGCTTTATAGTTTGAAAAAAAGTTTATAAAATTATTGTATTTTATATTCCTAGAATTTGTTTCAGGTAGATAAGGAATGTCTTTTTAATTTTAAGTAGAAGATTACAGAAATTGTGACTGACCCAAAGAAATGATAGATAGTTCCAGAAGTATTTTTAAGATATTTTAACATCAAAGTCCAGGTGTTCATTACTACAGGTATCAATGACTCTTGCTTGCCTTTTCGAAAAATAATATTTGATTCCTAAGAAGTAAAGGTGGAAAATATATCTCATGGATCTACATTATTTTTAGAAATTATTAAGTAGCATTGAGTAAATTATTTAGAAATTATTTAAGTAGCATTGAGAAAACAAGATTTTGAGAGGTCCCAATTCAGTTTTTTTCTCTCATGTTAGAAAAAAGTAGAATCTTGCAAAATCACATTAAAAAAAAAACCAACTAAGAAACAAGATGTATTCAATCCAAGGCACAAATAGTTTGCCAACAAGAGGAAGGTAAAGGAAACCAAGGACATGCATCAATTTTTTAAACAAGATTTGAGGAAATTTCGATTTAATAGAAATCTATTGATAGAAAAGGAAAAAAACAAACAAACAAACATCAGACACCTGATTCTCTACAAAACACAGAGAAAACTAAGGACTAATCAAAGAGATTTTAAAAGTTTCCTGCTCAAATGATCAATAAAAGCAATAGCCTCACCTGAACAAGGGAGTCTTTCTCCTTACAAAACCCTGAATCTTCCTGTATCAAAAGGGGCTCGCTTTTCCCACAGCTCTCCTGGCTGATGAGTGTGTCCGCGTAGTTGGGCTGGGGGAAGATCAGGTGACTCTTCCGCGAGTCTGCGGTGAGGGACACCTCATGGGAATAGGTCTGCAGGAAAGCCCGCACTCCGTCCACACCCACAAAGTGTGAGGTGGGCACGCCTACCAACTCGCCTCCGGAAGCCTGGAGCAGGCGCGACTTGTGCCAGCGCCGCAGCCTGAGGGCCAGCAGCACGATAATGAAGATAAGGAAGACACAGGAGACGGCAGCCACCGCCACCACCAGGTACAGAGTGAGACCAGAGTCGTAAGGACTATCGGAAGGCTCAAGGTTGCCCAGGTCGGCCAGGACTTCGGGGATGCTGTCGGCCACTGCCACAGTGAGCGTGACAGTGGCTGAGAGAGGGGGCTGGCCATGGTCCTGGACGGCCACCACTAGGCTCTGCTTGAGCGCGTCTCTGTCCAGCAGGGCCCGCGCCGTGCGCACCTCACCCGTGTGCAGCCCCACCACGAACAGCCCAGGTTCGCTGACTTTGAGCAGGCGGTAGGACAGCCATGCATTCTGGCCTGAGTCTCTGTCCACCGCCACTACCTTGGTCACCAAGTAGCCAGGCTCTGCAGAGCGGGGTGCCAGCTCCACGCCTGTGGAGCCATCCGTGGGGACGGCAGGGTACAGGATCTCAGGCACGTTGTCATTCTGGTCGAGCACAAACAGCCTCAAAGACACGTTGCTGCTGAGGGGTGGGTTCCCGCTGTCACTGGCTGTCACCAGTAGCTGCAATTCTTGAAATTGCTCATAGTCAAAGGAACACAGTGCATACAGGACACCCGTGTTGGAGTTGATGGAGACATAGGAGGACAAAGGCTCCCCCTGGAGGGTGTCTTCTGCCAGCGAGTAGGAGACCAGGGCATTCTCATTGCTGTCAGGGTCAAATGCATCCACAGAGAAGATGGAGGCTCCCCTGGGATTGTTCTCAGGGATGTAGACTGAGTAGGATGAGTGGGGGAAGGTGGGTGGGTTGTCATTGGTGTCTGCCACATTTAGGGACACGAGCATTTCTGCCGACAAAGGTGGTGCTCCTTTGTCTGTGGCTGTCACTGTGATGTTGTACAAGGACACCACTTCCCGGTCTAGAACTGTAGTTGTCACTAATCGATAATAATTGTCAACTGATTTTTCCAACTCAAATGGGAGACTTTCTGGAATGGAACACATTACCAGACCATTTGGTCCAGAGTCTTGATCATACACTTGAAAAAGAGCAATTACTGTTCCTGGAGGTGCATTTTCAGCAATTGTTCTGCTTCCAGATGTAACAACCATTTCTGGTACGTTATCATTGACGTCTAAAATAGTTATTAAGACTTTCGCTCTGTCTCGGAGACCTGGCCGATCCTGGGCTTCAACATCCAGCTCATAAAAGCTTGATTCCTCATAGTCAAGATTTGCAGATGTTGAAATTTCTCCAGTCAAAACATTCAAACGGAAAGTTTGTGAGATCTTTACGAAGGAATACTTCACTTCTGCATGGACTCCTTCATCCTGGTCAGTGGCATTTATTGATAACACTGGTGTACCTACTGGCAGATTTTCAGGAACACTTACACGGTAGACAGGCTGAGTAAACACCGGAGCATTGTCATTCACATCTAGTACAGTTACCAGAATTCGTGTCATACCTGATCGGACAGGGTCACCACCATCCGTGGCAGTAAGGACCAGGTGATGAACAGCTTCGCTTTCCCGGTCCAGGGTGCCCTCCAGCACCAGCACTGGGTACTTGGGCCCATGAGTTTCGCTTTGAACATCCACTGAGAAGTGACTATTGCCACTGAGCTTAAAGCCCTGAAGAGAGTTCATTCCCACATCAGGATCATAGACCTCCATTAGTGGAAAACGAGAGGAGGGAGCTGCGTTTTCAGGAATTTTCACTTCCAACTCTTCCCTTAGGAATCGGGGTGTATTGTCATTAATATCCACTATTTCCACTTCCACGGGATAAAGGTTCAGTTTATCCTCGACAAGGATGTTAAAACTCACCAGACACCGCGGACTCTGGGCGCAGAGCTCCTCCCGGTCTATCCTCCCCGCGGTTACCAAGCTGCCGCTTTGCGGGTTCAGAGCGAAGAGCTGCGTCCTACCTCTGGAGACGACACGGACTCCGCGCTCCGCCAGCTCCCGGGGCTCCAGCCCCAGGTCCTTGGCAATGTTACCCACGAAGGAGCCTTTGTCCAGTTCCTCGGGAATAGAGTAGCGGATCTGCCGGGCCGCGGCCCCCCACAGCGTTCCCAGGAGCGTGAAGAGCAGGGGCAGCTTGCTGAGCTGCCGGCGCCTCTGCAGAGCCGCCATTACTGGCTTGTTATAGACGTCCCCAGGATCAGGAGTAGGAAGATAAAGTCCGCATCACTTTTGAGTTCAGAAATAGAAGTCAGATGCGAAGGTTCCTAAACAAGCAGATATCGATGCGAAGCTTTTCAGGTCAGGATTTCTGCGCCCCTTTCATGTCTACCTTCCTTGTGGTTGGTGGATATGACTCTAGTTCCCATTGATTTTCTTGCCCAGTTAGTGAACAGCGACGCTTAGAGTCCTAACTTAATACTGCACCGTTTTGTGAAATTTTCATAGAGACGATTTTATTTCTGCTAAATCCGCAGAAGTGACACTCATACTATTTCTATTCCCAAGAGAGGGAAGTATTTGGAAGAATAAAGAAAATTTTTTAATACTTTTAAATTTTTTCTGAGATGTATCACATTTTTTGTGTGAAAATATCACTTAGGACCTTAGAGAATAGAAATAACACTACAGTTTTCTGTAAATCTTGAATTAACACACCCCTATCATTTATATTAGTTCCATTTCCAGTAAGGGAATCAACAATTACAAACCCATTTTGAACCAATTCACTGAAGTGTCAGTTACAATAAGAGTTGCCATTTTTAGATGTCATTGTTTGTTTTTATTAATATAGAGATTAAGAACTGCCTTGACATAGGCAACATCTATGCATACTTGTTAAAACATGCAAAGGAAGTGAAAATTTATAGGTTACATTTCAAAATATCTTAGGATTTGTGCACACAGATTTATATATTTTAGGATTGACTGCATTGAAGCTAAGTAGATAATCTATTTCTATAGATTTATATTTAATTCTGGATAAATAAAATGTCTTACAATGACAGTGTGAGGCACTACTATATTATGTTTCTGGTTATACTGTTTTGGGATTAGTACAAATTTCAAGGCCATCAAAAGAAGTTTTCTATGAAAGACAATTGCAACATAGATATGTCTGCAAAGAATTTACTAGTCCCCCGTTCTTTGTGTGTGTGTGTGTGTGTGTGTGTGTGTGTGTGTGTGTGTGTGTGTGTGTG